TTTCATTCCAATACTCCCTTTTAAGTCTAACTCAATTTGCTCTAGTTATGTTTTCTGGTGTATTTGTACCTGTTTTGCGGGATGCATGGTACGAAACGCTTTCAGATCAAAGTTATTTCGGGGTATACAAAATACTTCAATCGGATAAGACGTTAATCAAGAACGAGCACTCAAGAATCCGTACCCCAATCCATACCACGAGACTCTATTTTATAGAGTCGAAATTTCCATGATCGGACATGATCCTTCGCGTAGACATACGCGTACGTTCGTGCGGGGAAGAAGATAGGCGCGAGTTTGAACGAAGAGCCTCCTGCGGTTTTAGAGTATATTTTGACGTTTATCCACTAGTTCGAGTCCTTTAATGTTTTGGACTCCGATCACGAAAATCTTAAGGATTTTCATAAAGAAATAACGTACGAAATAAAGACCCCGCCCAGGGGCTGCCGCCCCTTGGACCCCGCTACCCAGGGGCTGCCGCCCCCGGACCCCCGCAGTGAATTTATAATATCGTTGAACGAGCGCGCACTCCGCGCCTCCTAACTCGTTTGACAATGTCTATTTAAATTCTTGTCCGATCGAAGTAATCCAATTACACAAAATAAATCGATGACACTAAAATCACCAACACAGTTCCACTTCATAAATTTCATATGTTTTGCTGGATATATGATTGAAGTTCATTGTATAAACTAAATTATAATAAGATATGGACTCATTATTTGATTACTTGCATAATTGCATCTACTGTGCTCTATAGTTAGACATATTTCTTTTAACTGACTCGGTGCTGAATTTTTTTCCCCTGTACTGCAGAACAAAGAAAGTTGATAATTTTACATCCAGACTCCTTGACATACATTCTAAAATGTTAGAGATGAATAAGAAAGAGGTATCTCAAGTGTTCCTCCTGCTGTTATTCTTGTTTTTTGTAATGAGCATAGCTCTATGCATTTGTTTCAGCTCTCTTGAAGTCACAACCGTCTTGAATTTTTTATACTGGAAAAGATGTATTGTTCTTTGATTGTTTGAAAGCATTTCTGACATTGAAAAAAAATGTGTTTGGGCAGTTTGGCCTAAGAAATTACAAAAGTAAGCTTGACTTTACAATCAATGTAGGAAATACGATTGGGATTACATCGTTCGGATTATATGCTGGACGAACAAACAAAGCTACTTCTGCAAATAGAACTCAATACAATCTCATCATCATTTCCTGGACTGAGTTGTCTTGTCAGCGAGCTTCACAGGTAAAGTTCTGTGTATCTTTTATAATTTTAGTTAACCTTTCTCTAATATTTTTTATTATTAGTGCTGCATGAGCTGGGGGTCTTTTAGAAACTGCTTCTCTACTTTCGAGTAGAGGCAAGGTCTGCGTACTCACACCCTCCCCAAACCCTACAATCGTGGGATCCAACTGGGTTGTTGTTGTTGTTGTTGTTTGTCTTTCTCTAATATTATTGAGATGCATTGCATCATGTCACAATGGAGATTATTTGCCTCAACAACAACAACAACAACCCAGGTGAATCCCACAACAATAGGGTCTGGGGAGGGTGTGTGTACGCAGACCTTGCCTCAACATAAGATCCATTAAGAAGAAGGCTGGAACAATGTCAACAAACATCTTTTCACAGCCCAATAAAAAGACAAAAGCAGGAATAGTGAAAAAAATATCTTCTGAAGCAAATTCTGATGCACTATCAAGAAGTGAATAAGCCCCTTTAAGCAAATTCTTGAAGCTAAAATAGTACTTGTTTGCTCGAAGAAAGAAAGAGTTTAATAATTCATTTTTTAACCCTTTGGTCCCCAAACCACCTTTATTAAATGATTCTTTCCTACAACCTTATGTGCTTGAATCTTTGTAAATAACTTTCTGTTTTCTTCAGGCTCCATATCTCTGGTTTTGTTTTGCAGCATGTCCAGTACTCTTTTATGATTTGCTTGACAAGATGCAACTTTTGGAACAATATTTTATAAGAACTGGATCTGTAATAGTATAGACAGATCTTGCTATGCATTTGCATGCTTAAGATTTGCTATAATAAGAACTTGTCCAGTACTCTGTCATTGGATTCCAGTCTCTTGCTATGTTTTTGTATACTTAAGATATGTGGCAAGTGTTCCATCACCTTGTGGTTATCTGTGTTCTTGAATTAACATATTTGTTGTCAATGACATTGACATATAATGAAATGTGTTCTTTGATTTCAAACTGCAGGAGTTTACTTAAGCATCATCGGCAACATCTTGCATTAGACCCTGACAGAATTCCCCAAAACAATGCTCTGATTCAGTTTGCTGAAGCACTATTTAAAGCTTGGAACGAGTATAACAATCCCAGGTGAATAATTGTGTTCACGTCTTGATTGAACATTGCATTATAACTGCACTTTGTGTAATTAACTTGACTAAGAAATACAGGGCTGTCGTTATGTTTGTGGTTCAAGCTGAAGAGCGGAACATGTATGATCAGCATTGGATATCTTCAGTGCTGAAAGAACGATATCCTTGAAAAGTCGATAGAGGCTACTCTTCATGGATGCTATGTGTTTCTTTTGGATGCATTCCCTGATTGTTTTCTGTTGTGTTCGTTCACACTTTGCCTATACTTTGATACATGTTTCCCAGCTTTCCTTAGCATAGTAACACACATCAACTTACAACTCTCAGGAAGACGCTTGCAGAAATTGATGCGCTCGGTGAGCTTTTACCAGATGGCACACTTGTTGTGTAGGTGACCTCACAATAATTCATCCGTAATATTGATACTGTCTATTTTGCATTTTATGCTTGAAACACAGCCTTTAATTATTATTTTTAAATAATAACATCACAGTGATGGTCAAGTTGTTGCAGTTGTCTACTTTAGAGCAGGATATGCTCCTAGTGATTATCACTCTGAATCTGTAAGTGATTCTTCCTTGCTATATGTCTGTTGACAGTAATAGTTGATTGTTAATTGCGGCAATGTGGCTAAACTGTGTAATTATTTTTATTATGGGTAGTGGTGAGTTTATAACCTTGACTTCAAGCTCCAATTGGGCAACATATTCATTAAATCTTGTGTTGATTTCACACATTGTAGGAATGGAGAGCAAGACTTCTTATGGAGCAGTCATGTGCAATAAAGTGCCCTTCAATATCGTATCACTTGGCGGGCACCAAGAAAGTTCAGCAGGAGCTTGCGAAGCCAAACGTACTTGAGAGGTATTATCATTATCATTATACTCCATATTTAACTAATCATCACTTACACCACTTTATGTTTCATTTTAAAAATAAATACTCCCTCCGCCCTATATTTTTGGGACCAGGGGGAATGACATGTAAAATACTAAAAGTGGAATTGTATTTTTTGAGATTCAAGTAAGAGTAAGAAAAACTACGGATAAAAGTCATTCATTCAAATGTTAACAAGACCCTGTTTGGGAACGGTGTTTTCGGTTAGAGTTTGGGATTGTTTTTTGATGGTGCAAATTAACTTTGAAAACGTTAAAGCTAAATGCTGTCTTTGGATAGCATTTTCAAAACCCTAAAGCTAAACGTTGAAGTTTCCAAAGAAGCCCTAAATACAGTATGAAGCAAAAATAGCTGGACATATTAAAAGGGTAAAAATGAAAAGAAAAAAAAAGTGGGACGGAAAAAGTAGCGTTCACTCAGTTTGCACATACATACTATTCTCCTAGTTTAGTGAATAACAGTCTCCAACATTGAAACAGGTTTCTTGACGACAAAGATGACATTGCCAAATTGCGAAAACTCTTTGCAGGCTTATGGAGCCTCGATGAGGCTGATGTCACAAGGGATGCCATTCAGAGGCCTGAATTATATGTTATGAAACCTCAACGAGAAGGCGGAGGTTGCAGAATTCATTAACTGCGGGCAGCAATTTTCGCTCTTAATATTACTACTACTAGGACATCACTAATTTTTATATATATTTATTTGCATCTCAATCCAGGGAACAATATCTATGGTGATGGTGTAAAAGAGAGTCTTGAGAAGTTGCTGAAGGAAGGCAATGGAAACGAGGCAGCAGCGTACATCCTCATGCAGAGGATCTTTCCTGCCTTGTCCAAAGCAATCCTAATGAGAGATGGCATCCCTCACAAAGAGCAAGTCGTATCAGAACTCGGCATATATGGTGCTTATCTAAGGTATACTTTACATTCTCCCACACAATGATGTTTGTTTATACAGAGTATTAAATTGATAACATTAGAAATTTGTGGGAGCCTTAATGTTAATTAACATACATAATCAGAAACGAATGGACCTTCTTTGATTTTGTACGCTTGTAGCTTTTGGGCTTCTCATATACGTACTTTGAATGACTGGGTGCAGGAATAAAAGTGGGGTAGTAATAAATGAGCATTCGGGTTACTTGATGCGGACAAAGGTCGCCTCTTCAAACGAGGGTGGGGTTGCCGCTGGCTTTGCGGTTTTAGACAGTATATACTTGGTTTAATTGAATACATACATTTTCTTGGGGGTGCTTTCTTGGAATGTGTATAATAATCAGTGCACGCTTTACATTCTAAAAATGTGTAACTTTTGTTGTGCTTAGTGTGAATGTGCAACTTTTGCCGAAACCGGTCCGGCTCTGTTTCCCCTTTCTTGTTTCTTAGTTTAAACCGGACCCGTAAGTATGGTTTATTTGCCCGAGCCGGCTGGATGTTGCCTCTGTTTGGCTATTACTCTTTTCCGATTTTCTAAGTTGTTGCACACATAAATAGTATTCCTTACCTTTCAAATTATTGTCTGTTTGTTATTTACAAAATAAAATTTCCCATCTCAATACCATAATCTTCAAAGATGTGTCATCAAAAATAAAGAAAACTCTACCTGACCAACAAAATTAAAAAAAAAACAAAACAAAAAACTCAAATGCCATATTCACAAAAATGGGTTACTGCTAGCAGTATTTGTGCAATTAAATTCTAAACTAATAGCAAGATTTTTGATAAGAAAGACAGGCTAATAAAATGGTTGAGTAAGCAAGCAGGAAGCCTTTACTACTACTACTACTACTCATCCTTCCATCCGAACTCTCGGGCTCGGCTCTCCCACAGTTGAGAAAGCTTGCGCTCTTCTATAAATGACGCTTGTGCCCTTTCTCTAGCTTCTTCACACGTCTCCATTCCCGCAGTACATTTCTCTGCTTCCCTTTGGTAGTGGGAAGATGCTCTCTTGGCACCCGTGATTAGCGCGTTTGTATGCTCCAAGCTATCACTCGTTACATTCTTCAACAACTTAATCTCCTCTGTTAGTAAACTGATCATGTCTTTCTTCATTTCCTCGTTCATTTCCGGGTTGTCTTTCCCACAGTCTGCACACCAAGCAAAATATCATAACAGTGTTGGGTGGGTCCTAATGAAATCACTTTTTACCCCTAAAAAATATCCCCTTTTTTATTACATCAAAATTTTCTATTTGGTTCTTAGATGCCAAATATGTAATCAAGTTTTAAGAAAGCAGTGAGTGATTCATTGGCAGAATTTCAGGATACTAGGGAAGTATATATAGACTAACCTGCAATTGAGCCATTCAGGACATCTGTAAGATAAATAAACACAAGGATACATGATAATTAATATCAGCTTAAATATATATGTAGGTGCAAAAATGAATAAAATTCAAAAACACAGAACAAACAAAAGGATGAATAACCAGACGTACCAAGGGCATCACATAACAAAAGTGTAAACACGCGAATAAGCAAGACAAGACACCTATAAACTTTCATCTTTGGTCCATTCCAAGATGATTTTCTTGCATAACTATTAAGAGAGAATGGCGTGGTTGATAGAACTTGATGCAGATACTTTCCTCTCTGAATAAATCTCAACCACACAATTTCATTTCCTTACACTCCTTGCTAAGTCGTGCCGACCAATCAAAAGTGAGATCATTAAGTTTGGAAGGAGGGAATGTCAGTAGAGGCCATTCGTGGGACCCTATCGGGTTGTTGTTGCTGGTGTATAAGTAGAGAGTAACAAACAGAATAGACTGCAACATAACTGATCAATTGGTCATATAACCAGAGCACCTAGGGAATGATGTTCATTCCTAACATAAGGGCTCTGTGTAGTTAAAATTCAGGCAGGTAATAAATGGTAATTTGGAGTGTCCCCTAAAAAATTCGGCTAATAATTTGGGCAAAGTAGAGTTGATTTCTAAAGTAGGTACAAAGCGGCAAAAAAAGATACTCCGGAGTAATTGTAAAAATTAAACCTCACCATGGATGTGAATGGGAAAAATTCAGCTTCACGCATCGAGTTTTACGGTAATCATCATTGTGGATGTGAGTGAGGAAACAGATATAGCCATATAGGATACATCCCATCAAGACTAAAGGTGAATATGATAGCAGTTGTCTTTCCTTGATCTAAATATACTGTAAATGTCCACCACAACAATGCAAGACTTTCCTCATTACCCTAGAAATATTTTGAGAGGAGCTAAAAGCTAACACCCATTCTGGTGTTATTGATTACGACAACCAAATAATTATTTTTTGAGAATTACTACATACGATTTTAAAATTTTTTTAAACAGTAATTGGTAATTATTCTATTAAAACTCAAATATTCAAATAATTCCAAAGACTTTGCTAGTTATTAACTACATAACATTTTGAAGCAAATAAAATACTATTCATTATCCAATTGTTTTTTAATTACACAAAATATATATTAAAACCATCTTAATATCATAAATAAGTTTATGAAAACAATTATAATATAAAAATACATTTTTTAAATTATAAATGAACTGTTTACAAATAATAGATATTTTAGTAATTTAACACAATAAGTTCAATTACTACAAGTATTTATTAATTTGGCATAAAATATACTCTGTAATAGATGTAAATATATCTATTTGGCCAAAAACTACTCATCAAATAGATGTTATAATATTGAAGTATATTTTAAAAAATAAAAATATAGATTCTGGATTTGAAACTTATAGTATGAAAACTTGAGTCTTGATAACTGAAATACAATGTTGAAAGTAACATACCCTAAGTCAAGTGATCAACAACCTTAATTTCCCACATTGTTTCACTCTACACTACTAAGTTTGTAACTTTCATGAATAGACAAATAGCAATTCAATGAAAGCAGTGAAACAAAATTTACTCATGAATTATGATGGTAAAATCCACATCACATCTCAAAACAAAAGGGTAAATGCAAATAAAGGAAACCCACTGTCTTCTTGTTAGATTGAGATGAGTGAAGTGGCAATGTAATGGAGGGAAACCCATGCATTTTCTTTTCTTTTGCTGAGAACTAAGAGGGGCAAAAGTTAATGGTGAGTGCTTTTCAACCCAACCATTCCTCACAAATATCATCCCTCTAAATTAGAGTCAAATAGGAGGAAAGAGTGAGTTTACTTACTTTACTCTATAAAGCTATTAGTTATCATCCATTTCCTCAATATATTCCAAGAAGAGAAAGCCATAGTACCTAAGAATTCACTTCATTTAAACTTCTCTAATCCAAAAAAGAATTAGATCACTCCCACACTCAATGTTTCTATAACCCCTTCATCTCGCTCTGACTTTGCTGCCATTCAGTGTGTTATAATAAGGTATAATCACAATAAAAATCGACAATTAGAAGTGCAGATTTTGTCTTTCAGCAATTTCATCTATCCCAAGTCAAACAGATTAACATTAAAAAAGTTTAAAAAAACAAATCCAGAACAATAAAGAAAGTTATAGTACATTTTCAAACTAGAAGCTCCAAAATGGAAAAAAATGAGAGAGAAGTTAGACACACCTAAAGGCAATGGCAGCATGGAATCCTCCTCGCAATCGCAAGAACACAAGGGACATGAATCCAGACCACTTGACCTCTCTTTGGATCTCCATAGGACTGATGGCTTCATAATGAAAAGAACTAGGAAAAAGCAAACAAAGATCACCACATATCTCGCTGCCCCTTGGCTACACAACCTCTGGTCTGATGGATGAGCCATGAGAAAGCGTCCCCTGCGAAGATCCAAACCCAAAATCAAATCTTTAAAACTAAATGCTCCACAAGACAAGAAATGCAAGTATTCAACATAAAAAAGGACTTGCAAAAAAAACTCCAGATTCAAATAGAAACGGAAAACCCGGAAAGATTAAAAACCAATTTGTTTTTAATACAAAGAAAAAATTGAAACCCAAGATCAGATAACGATGCCCACCCGGGTCAAAAAGATCAAAGCTTCACCCGGATCATTTGAGTAGTCCAATCGTGAATGAAACACACTTTGTTATTCAAAATGCGGATTATGCGCGTATTTGCTCGACTAAATCGCCTGGCTGTTAAGTCGAAATCAAAGGCTTAGTGGGTCACAAACAAAGATTCAAAAAGAAGAAAGCAGATTATGCCGTGTTTGGGTATTTAAGGAAAGTGCAGACGACCCAGATCCCGAAATGTGGAGACGAATTTTATGGATCGAGTTTGCAGTAAGCAGTTGCAGTGGAGAGAGAAAATCGGCGTGGAGAGAGAGAGAGAGAGAGAGAGAGAGAGCAGGGTTTACTGCTGGCTCCTTGCTGTGGAGTGAGGAAGAAGTCTATAACACTTGTGATACTCAAATCTCAGGAAGAACTCTGTAACCTTTGACCTTTCAAACTTCGTTACTCCGAATATGCTCTGCTGTTCTATAACCATAAAAAACAAATTGATTTTTAAAACAAATATACTTGTTTTCCGTTCCTGAAAAATCGTCACAACTTAACCAAAAAAATAAAACTATGATAATCTTTTAGAGACGCAAGGAGTAACATTTATTTCAAAATAGAAGTTCCAAATTTTAATCCAAAATACAGAGTAGGATTTTTGCACTATGATATTATGATACTCTATATTGGATCCCATTACATTTTTTGATATTATATTGACATTATTCTTATTATTGTACTCTATTTTGAATATAAAATACATGAAACTCTTGTTTTGATATTTTTTTCAATATTTTACTCTTAGCTTAGTTTTTCCCTATTTTTTAAAAGAGGGAGTATAATTTTAATCTAAGAAATTACTCTTTTTAACTCATTGGTTGAATTTGTTTGTTTATTTATTCATGGCACCTAAATAAAAAAATTAAGAAAATAATAGTGTATAATGATACTCTCTCCAACCTAAAACTGTCTTTCTAGTTACTATTCTTTGTTAAACATTAATCATTTTCCTTACATATTTATGTTAGTTATTTGATATGTAATACTCCCTCCGTCCCACTGTCTTTGTCCACTTACCTTTTGGCACACCATCCAATTCACTTCAAATTAGGTAAAATAGAACATTAAACATATAATTTTTTAATATCTTTAATATATAATTATTAGATATACAATTCTGTTTAGTTTGTTCTAGTGTGTACTGATATAAATCCGAATGTGTAACTCTCTTAAACTACTCAGTTTCACGAATCTACTTGTCAAGGTTTTCAGTTTTCACCTGTTTCTGTCACCCTGCGAGGTATTATAATATAATAATCATGTCACCTTTTAGTTTTTAATTTTAGAGTAAATTTCATAAATGATCTCCAAATACATATAGTTTTCTATATTCAGTCCCTAATTATAAGATATTCCTTAAACGATCCTTCATTTTTGAAAACTTTCTTTAATTGATCCTTCAGGGACTACATGTGGAAAAAAATATTTTGCCATTTTTGGTGAAAAAGGACTATTTGAAGAAAAATTTTTAAAAATTAAGAACAATTTATGGAATATCTTATAATTGGAAACAAAATATGGAAAACTACATATAACTTGAGACTATTCATGAATTTTACTCTTAGTTTTAAATATATAATCAAAAAATTAAAATTAAAAATAATTTCAACCAAATATCGTAAATCAAAATGAAAAAAAAGTTTTAGAATGCAAGGAATGGACAAATACACCGGGTATGTTTTTATTTATGATGCCACATTTATTAAAGGGTAGTGGTAGGCACACCCCACCAAGATAATATACTCACCCTGGCACTAATATCACTCCAGCACTTTCTAAAATACTTTTTGTTATGTGCTCCACACGACTTCATAGAATTCTAAAATTTTTAATATTTTTATAAAATTACATTTTTAATTAAAATCCAGAGTATAATTTTATTTATACTGTTTTCTAGTAAAAATTTGACTCCAAAGTTAAAATCAACTTGTGGGATGCAATTGACGGGGGTAGGGGGTGTGTTCGGGTCGGGGCGGGATAGGGTGGTTATTGGGGGTTAGAGGGAGTAAGAACCGGAGCGGCCCCGAGTCATCCCATGACATTGGACTCCTATGTCATGAGAATCTTGGTGTATTAATTTACCAAGAATTGAAAGTTAACAAATACACAAAGAGTTTCCAAAAGAGAGAGAAAAACTATTATGCACTTTAAATGCGTATGAACCTTTTCAAATAAAATAAATGTTTATTAATTAGTAATTATATCAAAAGATTCATTATACATAGAAAATAGACCTGTGCAAATAAGGATCCAGGCCGGGCTTGATACATATTATTAGCCCATTTGAATGGGCGGGCTTGGCCCGGCCCGGACTTGATGGGCTAAACTCTTTACCCATAACCGCCCACCTTAGCGGGCCGAACTATCCACCGGGCCGCCCGGCCCGGATAAAACATCAAGAAAAACATTTTTACACAAAAAAATCAAAAAGAAAATATTGAATTTGTTTTTCAATGTTTAAAATAAAATTACCACTTGCCACATTTACATAGAAAACATAATAGAAGTATTATTACATAATTAATAAACCCATCATACAGATTCATTAAAAGACTATTGATTTTTGTTTAAGAAGGGTGAATAAATTGAACTATTATACATGAATTAAAGAAAATTTTAAAATATATATTGGATAGGTAATTAATACTCCCTCCGTTCAAGAATAAACTTCCTACTCTACCTTTTTTTTCGTCCGGAAAAAATCTTCCTACTCTACTTTTTCATACCCACTCTTCCAAAATTACCCTTCTTCCCCTTCCCCATCTCCCCTCTCTTCTCTACTCCTCAATCGCCACAACCCCCCCCCTCTATATTTTTTTCTTTCCTACTTCTCTATCTCTCTCTCTTCCCCCCTCTCCTTCTTTTTCTTTTCTCAAGATTTTCTTCTTCCCCACGCCCAAATCTGGCCTTATCTTCATCTCTCTCCCCCCCTTTTCTCTTCCCCCTTTTTTTTGGTTTCTTCGCTTTCCTTTCTCGACCAGATCTGGCCATATGCTCTCTTCCCGCTCCACCTTCTTCTTCTTCTTCTTCTCCTTCTCCTTCTCCGTCTTGTAGATTTGTGTTAGATCTGTGGCTGTGGGGGCAGGACAGCGGTGGTGGTGAGGCTGAGGCAACGATGGGCCGG